GCCAGAGAAGACATTCCCCTGACCTGGTACCTGGGAAAAACACTCGTGAATTTTGTCGGCTATCTCAGCGAGTTTTTCCAATTGTGTGTCAGAGGGCTGGATTGAAATGATGGCGTCGGTTCGCGGGGAGACATTTAACCCATAATTGGCGCAGAACAGAGTCGTCGACCTTGTTATCCCCGGCAAGGGTCCGCATATGCCGAAGAAGTTGCGAGGGAGGCCTGTCGCCAAGTTCGATTCCAGAAAGGAGGTGTCGAAGACGAGCCTCGTTCGAGCTGGTCGTTCTAGCAAGAACAGCACTTTTTAATTTGTCATAAGGATTATCAGAGGGCATTGTTTCAATGATGTCAAGATCTTCAGTTGCGACTTCTGTTGGTAGCAAATGAACGACATGGAGGTATTTTGAAGACTGAAGTAATTTTCAAGTTTCGAAATTGAGCCTCAATTTGCATGAACCACACTCGAGCATTGAAGCTGTAAGGAGGAAAGCTGACAGAAATGCTGTTTTCTATAGGGGATTGCACAGCAGTAGGGTCAGGCATTGTAGAAAGAGGGTTGTGAAATGAGTTCGACGAAAGTCAGCAATCAACGGCGTCAAAAGAATGATTTGGTTTGTCGAGGTCAGTAAATGTAGTGGCTTGTGGTCCAAGCACTACCTTACAACCCTCTAGTTAACAGGCCGTAACAGCGAACACGCCCACCAAGTATGTCTTAGTGTGTGGAGGGGTGAACGGATAACAGGCATCTGATACAGCAACCAGGGTTCACTCAGGCGCAATCGCTGTTGATCCGCTACATAATCCTTGGTTGACGTAGCCCGAGAAAATTGGTTGAAGCGGAGCCGTGAGGTGGAGATTGGGAATCATTAGTGGACAGCACGTGGGACAACAAGAACAGACGAGACGCACTTCACGTCCTAAATCTGTCGCGCCGCCTTGTCTAGTTTGCCTTGTCCGAGGTGGCCTAATTGGTTGTGAAGATCTGTGAGAACCGCTCGAGCCGCTGACTGGGAGACCACAAGGCTAATGGGGGAGTGAATGTCATTGGAAGTATAGAACATTGTCGCGTAGGTCCAGAAGGATCACTGGGAATGGGCCCTTTGGTTTTGGCCGCTCATTTCTTTAGCAGAGGGCTTGCGTGGGCCATGGAGTCGTCTGTCGTGGATTACAGCCGTATCCGGCCAGAGCGTTGAGGAGGTCGCCCTTACGTGGGAGGGGGAAAGAATCGCGAATTGTTACTGCGTTAAGTTTCCCATAGTCGATACATTTTCGCAGGGAACCGGAGAAATGATGCCTTGTCGAAGAAGGTCGTCTATGACATGGCGCAGGTCTGCTTGGTAGTGTACCGGTATTTGTTGTGGGGGTGTTCTCAGTGTGGGAGCCCGAGCCCTAGTATGATCAGGCTTTATTTACCAATCACAAGCCAGAACCACACATCAGGCGCCGTTCATCCGAGTCCTTCGAAAATATGCATTGCGGCCTAGTTTCGGAAACATCAAGTGTGTTTTAGCGCATAATCTGTCCCTGAGCCATTCCAGAAGCGAGCTCTCTACTAGTGCTGAAGTTTTCCTGTACCAACCAACTTCCCTTCACTTCCAGGACAACTTCTCGCACTGGCGCACTTTTATCCAGTTTCATCTGCCAGTAGTCCCACAAGAACATTTGGGGGCGTTTTATCCTCATGTCTATGTCACCCTAAGTTCGCGAAGAGCTTTTGAATCGGATCCCGATTAACTCCCTACCAGAACTAATACTGGAAGTTCTAGAACTTCTTTACGAGACAATTCCAATCTATTTTGGGATGAAGACATGACGATAGAACAAGCCGATTAGCATATCGGTTGAAGATGTGTGCTGGAAAGGACCTTTAAGCATTCGAGCATTGTGCTTAATGCGATGCAGAAACCAGTCTGTAATCGGTTAAATGCGATCAGACTGTACGGAGTAATAGCCAGACAGGCCTAGGAACGACCGCATTTCGTCTGCGGAGGTGGAGTTGGACCATTCCATAACTATGTTCTGTCTAAATGGGGTGTTGTATCTTCCACCTCGTGAACCGTTGATTGTCGAGGCGTCGATTGCGGCTTCGATCGTGGCTAGGCGGATCTCCAAAGAGACAGGTTCTTGGCACGCATCGGCCGGCAATAATGCATTCGATTGTCTTTGGAGACTTGGGCCAATTTGGGAGATGTGAGCCGATTTCGTTGCTTCTAATATGAGGTCTGCTGTATCCACCAACTGTTCCCGTGTTGACGATTCAAACATAGAGGCAAGGATGGGTTGTATATTGCTGGGAAGTGGTTTGAGAAAAAATCCTTTCCAAAATTCGCCTCGCAAAGGTTCGTCGCTGGAGAGTTGACTCATCTTCCTTAGGATCTGGGTGGGCTTCATCGAGGGATAAGAGCTGATTAATGCGTTCTGATGTGGTGAGTTGCGTACGCTTCAGGATCGCTGCCTTTTACTGGTCGGAGGGAAAGTCGTTGTCGGGATGAAGCAGTACGTCTGTAACTTCGTTCACCAGTTCTCTACTCAAAGCGGTGACGAGGTGAGAATATTCAGCATGTTAGCTGACAATATTAGCGCCACGAAATTGCGTTTTCAAAATGGCGAAGCAACACGGAGCGGGAATTTTGGCCAGAATGGAAAGGGGGAACCCTGTGTCGGAGGCGGAGCGGTCGGATTAAGAGGTTGACTAAGCACGATTCACGACAGCTCTCCCCCTTAGCGAGGGGATTTGGCGAACCTTACCGTCCACTGAAAGGTAGGCCGTAGGTTTCGCTTGATTGGGATGTGGCTGACGGAGTGGGTCGTACTGAGAATTCTCTCTCCCTTAGCAAGATAATTCAGCTAACCTTTTCTTCCAATGCGGATTCTGAAAGGTAGGCCGTAGGTTTCTGCAGTCGAAATGAGGCCCATGTGAAAGTAGAAATGAGGCGGATTGTCGTTCGTCGAAGGTAACTAAAACACTTGGCATCGTTGTTCGTTTTCAGTAGTCTTTCGAGATGAATCGTTGTTGCCGATACAACCTTTTCTGCCATTCGGATATCTGAAAGGTTGATCGTTGAAGAAGTCGTGCATGATGCCGAATCGTAAGATTGTTGACGTCTTTCGACCTGGTTGACAGTCGAGAACCAGGGGACGGAATCGGTCGAAAATACCTGCTGGACGAGCGTCAGAAGTCGAGGCCATTGAAAGTCGAAAAATGCGGCCATGATGATTAAAAGAGAGACAAGATGGATGAGGTCGGGTTGTAAAAAGGAGAGAGATTTGTGCTAGTAGAAATGGAAGGATTGTCGCAGAACGATGGGTAGCCGCCGCCAGGTCATGGGAGTCGAAGGGCATCGTCCGGAGTTTTGTAGCATCCGGAGATTTGGCGTCGTCAGGCGAATGCTGGTAATAGGTCGCCAAACGTCAGTACAGCATAAGTCGATTTTTTGGACACCAGGAGGTTGATATTCGTTTAATGTCGGGGTTACTAAATGTTGTGGACCTCAGCATGTGGTCTTGAACCACGCCGGAGCCACGGAAATAACCCTGGCTCGATTACGCTTTTCTGATACCCGCGATGAAGGAAAAGACCGGAGAGGACGGGACACAACCGTTTACTTCAGAGCTCAACCAAAACTGGTGTCGTGCCATGTGTGGGGTTTGCGTGTGCGTATTTATACCTCAGATGCGTGAGTCATAGATGCGCTAACATCGAGACCTAGGTGTGAGGATAATCTAAGATAAATAGTGTGATTGAGGGGGATTGAGGATCCGCGCGGCTGGCGACATGCTGCGAAAAGGGTAACCCTGTGTCGGAGGCGGAGCGGTCAGATTAAGAGATTGACTAAATACGATTCACGACAGGTTTATTGGTACACAATATTGGTGTGGGTCTCCGTTATCGGGTTGACAAGGGGTTTTCTCATATACTTGGTCTGGGTCGCTCCTGTCCGCCCATTGGGTCCGGCTTGGCTTCTAGAAATAGATAAACTCGTGAGGTGATTGTTACTCGGTCTCTGGCGCTCCATTTTAAACTTAGATCCGTAATAGGCGAGCAACCGGAAATCGCGTGAAGGCGCCCCCACGTCGCGCCATTGGTACTCGATCAATAGTGGGATGAGGATATAGGCTTTGACCCTTGATCGAGACTTGATTTCGATTTCTATCATGAGTATGGGGCATCGGTAGCCTAGATATCCAACAGTGGAACGATTCCTGGATGTCTGCTGAAATGCAATCCGGCTGTAAGCAGGTATGAAGGCGCAGTTGTAACCTATTGGGTCTAAGAAGACCCCACTTCGTCTGTGGAGTTGGGCGTGGGCTATTCCTTAGTGGCTTGATTCGATTTGCAAATAAACTGTTGGCGCTAGCCACAAATTCTCAACACGGCAGACGTGATTTTGAGGTGAACCGGCAGTGCGAGAGGCTCTTGCAACTAATTCTCGCTGTGCTTAAGTCGGGATGTGTAAGGTGTCGTGCACAATTATGGTGGGTGGGGCACCTGGGTAGCTCTTTTGGACCAGATCGTAGACGTCAGCCATGTAGTGGACTACCCGTTCCCCGGCCCGTTAGCATCGACTCATGAGTTTCAGCTGACTGTCTTCAGCCTTCTCCGCGAACAACTGGGACAATTTATCCAGTAGTTGTTCATAAGGTGTATCGCCAGAGCAGCCTGCCATAGAGGCAATACGCCTGGCAGGAGCGGCCAGGCCTCTTATGGGCTTGCGCGATCTACAAGCAGGCTCTTCATACCTTAAGTAATCATCCATTGTCTCGATCCGTGCCTCAATGTCGTCATTGGGATTGAACTCGGGCGGTTGAGGCAGAAAAATTCCTACTTCCCATCCAGCGTGGCCACAGAATGGGTCCGTGTCCGTCTTCGAGGCGTAAGTTTCGGCTCCATGGTATGGTGAAGAAGAGAATGAGACAAAATGGATTCTTTTAGTAAAGGATGAAATACGTTACACTCTGGTCTGAATCTGGTCGGTGGGAAGGGGAAAACAGGGGGTTTGGATGTCCTTGTCCTGTTCTCCCGGGTAACAGCCCATGACACATGAGTGGCAGGGCAAGGAACTGGCGCACCTGCAGTAATGGTGGGTGTTTTAGCAGGGATTGGCGAAGCGTGTAGTGGAGTGAAGGCAGTGTGCTTTGGAGGTGAGGAGGTTGTGAGGAAACTAGTGTGTTGATCTGCCTGCTGTTGTTAAAATGCATTCCAGTGGAAGGTGTGGGCACTTGTTGGCTTGTCGCCGTGGATGTGGTCAAGGCTACTGCTCACATTGACTGGCAATTCATGTAGCAATCCGCCGCTGCCTGGTCTCTCCTGGTGCGGATTTTCTACTCCCAATCCAGCCAAGCTCCCCAATGCTGCCGCATTCTTCCACACCATCCCTCTCTCTCCAAGGTCGTTTTTGACAGGTGGACTTTAGTTATGTATCAGATTTGGAAGATTGCTGTATAGATCGGTGGTGGGTGCTTTCTCCGCCTCCCTCGTCTGATGCTATGGAGAACATCTTCGATGGAGACAATTGACAGCCTCCCTTGGGCGTAGGTTAATTCTCCTGCGTGGTGGACACTCGGCTTCAGTATCTCCTGGAGTTGTTCGGGGGACAGTTCGTGAACCTTTTTGCGTTCCCGAGGCATCTACCCTTGTGACCGACCTCCACGATTTCGCTGGAACGCTTTAACTATAGCATGATCATATCTCAAACAAGGGTTCCCTCGCAAAAGACCTCGTTCCAATTCCCTGCCCATATTATAGCCTGGCATTCACTTCATGTGTCTTGAGTCTTTTCGATGTTGCGTTGTTAATAAATGGAAGTGCGAAGTAGGCAGATTTGCAGCTGGTGTATTTCCAGGCAGTGGTAAGTGGCGTGTAGTTCAGAGACTGCGGCAAGTAATCTGGGAAGTGCAATACAACTTGGGCTCGTTGTGTTTTCAGAATTGAGTCGCACTTGGGAACGTTGGTAAGATGCATGTAGATTAGAGACGAGGGCTAGTAATCTGGGCCTGAGTCGTGTTGGGGAACCTTTTGATCCCTCGTCACCCTGCGTGCTGGAGATAGTTGAAGTTAGCGTCGTCTCATCGTGTGGCGCAGAGGCTAACAGTTTGCCCCAAAAGCAGGCAACTGTGTAGGCGGTTCGAATAACTTAAATTGAAATCGAAAATATACTATTAATAACAAGCAATGCATCAGCTAATCCAGTCGTAGAAGTTTCGTCTTGTTTTTTGGCTTCATGTTATGTGGCATGATTTGGATTTCTTCGTTACTGGCGCTGATGACAATTTGAGTGATAAGCCTGGCTAGTGGCCTTTCGATGGAGATGGTAGTAAAGCCGGAAACCGTGTCTGGCTGCAGGTTAACTGGACGGCCGCTGATGGCTGTTGCCGATGGTTGTCTTCGGGTGAATCCGGCTGGAATTGGATTTGTCCATTAATTTTCCGGAATTTCCGATGTTACTTGACTCAGCTGGTCGAAAATTACTGGCAGAACCATCCTTGTCGCCTGCCACGTTGCGCGGTACTCCTTCAAATTGTGGTGGATGGGCTGACATGCGACCATGCCTGCCGAGGATTAGGAAAGTCAGTTGTGGGAGGGCATGATGGTAAGCGCGTAATTCAGACCTTTATAAGTTGTGTTGATGGGAGTGGGCTAGCGAGATTCACCACTGCCACGAGGTTTGAATGTGATTCAGTGAGCGATGCGAGCGCGGAAAGGTAAAATACGAAGAGGCGAGACAATCCGAACGTAAGTTGAAATACCTTTTAAAGATATTCTTGTCGATAATAACGTCAGGGTGTATTTGTAACCGCTGAATGTAATGTGCATTTGGGCGGAGGCTTGTCTGCTGAATGCAGTCAAAGGTCACATTTCAATGGGATGGCCTCCATGCAGTGTCCTTGTTCGATGACGACTTCAAACGTAATCAATTCTCTTCTAGTAGTACTTGAAAAAAATGCAGCTATACGAATTCGGGAGGTTAAAATTTATCACAGGGATCAATTTGTGAAGCATGAACAGGTCATGAGAAGCTATATAAGGACGGTTTTCGACCATTGTGAAGTTGAACAGGTCGTGTCTGCATCAAAGGACGACTTCGTTGTCTGTCCAGACTTCTACAACAGTATGGATCAGAAATTTGCAGTTTGTAGCAGCGATACCGTCGTGAAGGTGGCTGTTGACCCTTAGCCCTTTGGCAATGTGAAGACGTGGACACACGACGCTGGGCTAAAGATAGACGCCGCCGAAGACAATCTAACAACTCCTACCGCATCCGTCCCATCTCCGGCCTATTCATCTTGCCTCCTACTGCACAGTCTAACCAACTTTCGACCAGATTTTTGGATAGCCTCAAGTGAAAATTTGCCAGTGGTACTTAGAGTAGTGGTTTTTTTGGACGCGATAGTTAGTTTAAATGGTGGTTTTTATCAGGTTCTAAGTGCAGACGTGTTCCGCGTCTGCTGTCATCTTCGCATATGCGGGTGGCGTGTGAGTGACCACGTGGCTCCACATCAGACCCGCAATGCGTCGGCCAGTGGGAGCGCGCTACTTCCGATCCTTATCGGGTAGAGACGTCATTGATTTAACGAGCCCCGTGTCTTATTAGTGCCTCACTCGACCTTCCCATCTCCAACTTCGGCATGCTATGCGTGCAAGGTGTAACACATTCAGAGGTACCATTGTCGGGGGATTCCACCGTTACCAGTTAGCACACAAATGCACACTTCCATTCGTTTAGTACAAACCCGATCATCCCGGGTTACGAAATCGCATAATCGACAAAGCGCTCCAACCACCCACACAAGGCGAGACAAAACAGAAGACACGTCGGCATTCCGCAAACCCAATTTAAAACAAAGAACTAACATACAAAAAGCAAGCAAGTGAAAGTACAGGGCAGGAGGGGAGGGGCGACACCTGATAGCATTGGCGATGTTTTCCGCGTCATCGATCGGCTGCCTTGTTGAGAGCATTTCAGTAGTCGACGTCATATTGGCGGCGGTAGTGGAGGTAACAGGAGGAAGAGGAGAAGGGTGTCAGATGAGCCCCGAAACAGCCGGGTTGATTAGCCTCATCCACCGGGGTTGCGGGAGCCGCGCGAGGGCCGGTAACACGCGCACGCACCCCCGTCACCCATCAGAGGATAGTAGCCTGACAACAAGACAGACATTTTCGCACCGACCTGAACAAGCCTCTGCTTCAAACAACAAACTAGCTTGCACAAAGACGCAGTTCACACTTCATTCGCGTGGAGCTATTTGGAAAGTTTGAGCTGGTAGAACTGGACATGACCTTGAGAGGAAGATTGTCATTGGGTGGCTTAGTTTAACAAGGTAGGTAAACCAAAGATTAATAAAACTGTGAAATGATAATTTACAAATTGAGCTACTCACGGATTTCTGTCCGGTTTTACTTGTCTACAAGGAACATACAATGTAAATTTCGTGTTCGGTCAAATAGGACGACACAGGTGCAAGCCACTAATACAGTTAGTAGTCAAATTTGATGAATGTGCAAAAACTGCAAGCGTGAACGCACTGCAGTCGTAAATCAAGGGAATAAAACAAAGAACATTACCTGAATTCCTTAAATGCTTTGGTTTGGGAGGCTTAACGCGTTTTGTGGACGCGATAGGCGGTTTCTGAAGCAAGGAAGAAAACGCGGTGGATGTCAACTAGGGTTTATTTTTGAAAGAAAGTCTTAAAAGTGGAACACAATACATTGCTTCTACAAAAAACGCACCTCCGAATCGCCAGTTTCACCGCTGGTGGACTGTTTTTGGGCATTTCGCTGAACAAACAAAGAAGAAGAGGAACGTAGGTGAAGGCGATGTTAAAGATGGGGCCAAATAACTCATCGGATGAATTACCTCCTGACTGAGTTTTTTGCGCTCGTTGTCAAATCGCTCTTGCAGACGCCTGCGTGCCTCGCGCATCTCCTGGTCGTAATTTCTATCATCTGAAAGAAGGCGAAGGCGTCAACTAAGACGGACTTTCGAGCTTTTCCATATTTTGAGGCGCAATGGTCGAAATACGACATGGGATTATTGCGTAAAATATGCCAAAGTGATCATTCGTTTACGGTTATGAGCCAGACTTTTACACGGGAGTTATCAAACACAGAAATGGTAGTTTAGTGACTTTGAAATGTTCCAAGGGAATACGAAGACAAAGAAAAGCGCTTGAGTTAGGTGAAAATTGAAGACGCGCACGCATAAAATGGCGACTCATCGCGATAGTAAGAACGACTGTGACATTTAGAGACAAAACATAACGCACAAGATAACGAGAATGCAAGCGGGAAATGATTTAAAAAAAACGTTGCGGTAAAAAGGTGGCAAATACGGCGAATTGCCGCATAAAAATAAAAAACCGACGCAAAAAGCCACTGGATTAACTCTGCAACAATTGTAATAAGTTTCAAACATACTTCCGACGGCTCGTCTTGCTAATCGTTCCCCAATAGCTCCAGAAAGCCGTGATACAACGATATACGTGAAAAGCAGGCCCACAGCTACTAGAATTTTGTAGAAGAAGAATCCCTCGCCTAAAGAAAGAATTAACAAAAAAACTGCTTTTCTAACTTGGGGGTTTAGCAATTTCTGGCACACCATATTCATCGAGATTTTCAACCTCAATTTCTGGTTCCATCTAGATATAAAAGTATAAAAATTGTTAGAAAATCGCGTTAGTGGAAGAAAAACATGTCAAAACAAACCATAATTAGGAGAGTGAATTTGGATTATTTCACAAGGGAATTACTTTTGAAGAATTCGTGGCTTCAAAAATATGAGGATTAGAGCAACAATAAAGATTAAACACTCACGCCTAAAGTTAGCGATTTTTGTACCAAATATGTTGCCAAAACAAAATTGTTAATCAAAGTTTAAAAAGACTATGCAAGCAGAGAAATATGATCAAATAGATCAGCTCAGCAGATGACAGACAGAAAGACGAATGATTGACCTTACTCATATACCAAGTGTGCAAATGACTGCAAAAACAAGTAAATCTAAAAAAGGCTTCTTTTCTTGCAATCACATTTTTAGACAATTTACTTTGGGAACTTTTTAACAGACGGTTTAGTTTACATTGCACGAAAATAGATTTTCACACTTAAAATCCTGCCTTTATTTTTAATCATGATAAAAACCAGAATACGAGGAAAAAAACTTGAAAGAACATTTTCCGATCTAACCAATAATGGCGACCATAAAAACCCACTCGCACCCGACAAGCCAGTAAAGCACGTATAAATTTCGCGGCAATCGTTTACTTAACAAAAATATTTACTCCAATTTCAACGCATCCATTTGCATTGATTCATTTACTAGTACTGGAAATCACATATCACCAAGTGAAAAATGACATAGCCAAGAAATGTTGTATAAGTTGTGCTCCTATAAATAATCATCTCAGAAATACCAAAGGACTTGCAGATTTCAGAATCTGAAGTGGTGAATTAAATATTCAGTTGCATCTCGTGACTTTTGATTTACATTGCAAGCATATTTAACTCATTTAGTAAATTTTGCAATTAGCTAATTGATTTCTCGAGTTTTCAATGATCTGAGGCTTCGTCAATTTTACGAAGTAGAGAAATTGAAATGTAGTAAGCCATTAATGGTATATTTTTATCACAGAATTTATTACTCAGACGAGCTTAAAAGTATATTTTGGCAGTCAATTATTCTTAAGAACCTGCAACACAACTTATTTATCTTACTACTCACAGTTAACATATTATATTAAGCAATTTCGTCTGCAAATTTAGCTTTTTGTTAGATTTTATTTATCCCAACTGTAAAAGGATTTATTTTTAACTTAGCTGTCAATGGGCGAGACAACGCCAAGTTAATTGTTTCGGCTAGGTAAAAATATAGTTCCGCGTTTTGTTCTATTTACGGTATGGTGATATTTCAATATCGTGTGTACTAGATCGAGTTGTGTTTTGTACATATGTACAAATATTTCATTTTATGTGTAGTGCTTGCGCATTCGGTTCTATCCTCTGATACCGCATCCAAAAACATTAAAATAAAGGAAATTTCTGTTAAACCTGGTGGTGTCACACGAACTGAATCGATTGAGGGAGTAAGTTTATTGCCCATTTGCTGTTGATTTTCTTAGTTTGGTGTGGTTTGTACGTTTGAATATTCTTGTCAAGGCGGAACCGGCGAAGTATGTTGTCACGTTTTTTGACGTTCTTAGGGCTGGCATCTCTCTATTGTGTATTCTGAAAAACAGGATAGATATGTTTGCCACGTACAGCGTACCGGCAACTCAATTAGTTATTTGTTCTTTCAAAAGTTCGTAATGACCGTTGCAGATCCCGCAGCTATGACGTCTGGTGTTGCCTTCGTATGATGGATTTGTGATAGCTCATTTCATGGTTTAGGATGATAAGTCAAAACTTTTGGACCCAGCCGAATACTTTGTTGATACCAAACGCAATTCCAGTGAGTTATTGAATTTGTACTCATAAATCTTCCAGTTTCACACGTCGGTGGGAAATTCAAGGGTCATTTGGGCCATGTTTCTTTGGAGTTTGAGATGAAATCACGTCGGCCTGAATTATGAACCAAGACCTTCATTTAACTTTGTTTTGCTACTTTAATTTCTCACGTATTACTATTTTAATAATAAACAGTCCGTAGACTTTCAGGGTATATCTCAATTTGTCCAAATTGATATTTTGCCAAAGGGTTGCCATTAGCAAGTTGTGGTGCATTCATTTTAGATTGGTCGTTTTCGCCAACAGTAGTAGAGCCGATGTACGTAAACAGAGTTGTATGCTATCATTAATGCGACTTCTTTCCGGAAATGTCCATTAGCCTGAGATTTTGATTACTGTCTTCAATTCCCTCACTTTCTTAGTAGTAGAGCTCATGTTTATTTATCATTGACGCTGGGAGGTTATTCTTAAAGCTATTCGTCGGCTCTGAGATGTGGCTTCGCCTGATTGTTCAACATTGTCCAATTTAAGATTCGTCGGCTTATGGTAACTTCGGAAGCCACTTCGTTAATGTTTCACAATATTTTTTTCACTGAACCGTACTTTCTGTGGGGTTTTCGCCATGGTGACTGTGCGACTTCAATTCCTGAAGCTGTGATTAAATCATAAGCGTCTGAATTCTTTTCTAAGCTCTCTCGCGACGCTTTTCATGGCGTGGACAACAATGACTCGCGGTAACATGCGACACGATTCGGCTTAGCTAATAGATGTACGTGTTTCAGACGTGCTTATTGGTCTTTAGATTTATTAGGATGATTAGCGCTCTGGTAAAGTTGCGGTTCTTTGTTATTGGTCATAGTGAATTTAGGCCGGAAATTTGAATCATGGTTGCGAAAAGGCAGCCCAGGTACCCAGCAGGGAATGGCAAACAGACCTGTCTTGAAGGTCCTGACATGGGTCTCGTCAAAACATGCTGCAATAAAGACTATTTCTGGGACTAATAGGACAGATAGGCACGTGTGTCGGGGATTTCTCTGTGTTTTATGCAATGCTGCGAAGCCCTGGCGTTGCGCAGTTTAGTGAAAATCTATGCCTCCCGAAAACGCAGTGATTTTTAATCTAAGTGGCCTTATTTTTTTCATACACTGGTCTTATGTAAATAAATGATACAACCACTTTATGCCAGCTAAAGTCTTAACCTTGAAGATCTAACCTAGTAAATATGCTTCCTTTTCAACACTGTCATTCCGAAGAAAACACAATTTGGCCGTGTTATGCACTTATATTTCAGTGTAATCAGGTAGAGCTAAATGACGCTTCGAATTCGTATTAATGATCACAGCACACATGGATTTCTTGGTTTTCAAGTAAATTGATTAAAACAGTAAGGAAACATCCAAATTTGATTTCCTACACTGGTGCCGGGCTCCGTTACCTGCAGCCCCACAACAAAGACATCGCCATTGTAGTAGCAATGTTGCCTCAAGGAAATCTGCTTGACAACGCTCAAGCACCATAGTGTTGTGTGCTTTTTCACACTTGGTATTGAATTAAGATTAAGCGAGATTTGCTTTTTACGAATTCAAACAGCCGCTTTACCTAAACTCAGTCTGCAGGATCTGGTTATTTCCAATGCTAACCAGGAGGTTGAAGTAGAGTAAATTTCTAAGTCGCCAAGTACTTTTTTAATGGATTTCCTGAAACTGCTACTTGCATTCTCTTGTTTATCTCTCGGCGGAACTGCACCGAATAGTTTTTGAAAATGACAGGCAAGGATAGACCCTAAACGGTAAACGGACAAGTTCCAGTTCTCATGACTGTGGTAACCAAAAAGAAGTTTCGTAATTTAATTCTCGATAGTTGTAGAGGTATTGACTCATCACCTAACTGATGATAAGGAAGAAAGGCAGCTTACAAATCAACTCGAAAATAAACAAAAGACTCAAGCACACCCAACACCTCTAACTGCTAATCTAAGATTTAACAAGAAATGAAGACAGGATGCAGTCGTTTCTAACCATTCGATTGTTATAACCATGAAAATGTAAAACAATACAGGTTTTACTTATAACCCAAGGCATAGAATACATAATTATTAAAATAAGATTCATTGGAGGGTAAGTCACATTTCAGCAAAATTTATACCAAGGTATTATGCGTCTTGAGTTCTAACCTCCATGAAGAGTTGAGACAAATGATATCTTATCTTTCTCCTTGAGTTGATATTCTTCTTCGTTATGAAGACTCCAATCGGTGTCATTGATCAAGATTAAAATGCCAGGTCGAATTGAATTGGACTGCATGAAGAGGTCTGGGCGTCCTTTGAGAAGGTTGTCGCGTAGCCAGGGAAGGAGATGTTTTATAGTAGTAACTGAATCTGGCAAGTCAACTTCCTGCTCCCTCTTGCCTCCGAAAAGCAACTCTGCTCCACCAGAAAACTCCAAGAATATCCGCATGGCTTTGGATTAGCACACTAGCTCAGCAGATATTCCACACATCAATGATCCAATTAAAAGCAAGGAATGGGACATTATCTGGTTATTACGTGTGTACCATTTCTGTCAGTCATAAAAAGTTAATAAGATCTCCTATTTTTACTCACCATTGTAGATTCTAAAGATAACTATTTTGATATCAGTGACAAATTATCCATGCAGAAGGACAATACGCGCTATGTTTAGATGTACAATCAAATGGAAATGTTTGAAAAAAGTTTAGGAATATCATCAAACGATACACATCGAATTTTACTTCCCTTTGACCTCTGCAAATCATCGAAAGCATTTTTACATAAAATGAAAATAATTGAGTCATTTCTATCTCGCTACCAAGTCAAAACTATTTTAACGGCGTTATTCCAATTTGAAGTTTTTTTATAATTGGTCCAAATATACTTTGTCGTCAGCATTTAAGGTTGGTCCAATTTGTTTTGTTCAATTATTGAGAAACGTTTATATGAATTGCATAGCTATCCAAATTTTGCAGATGCCTATTAGTTTGAATTTCACAACATTTTTTAGATTTGTTTTGAGACTTTTATGGAATTGAATTTGTTATGTTCTTAGAATTGTTGAAATCCAAAACAACACTTGTTTTTTTGTTCTTTAATAATACATCAAGTTTACTCCCTTCTATCGTACATTTTTTTGTAATTTTGCATTGTTTACGAGAATTAGTAAATCGTGTGGGTCGTTTAGGTGCTTGGTCTGTTGAAATTGGCAATTTGTTTTTGCACACCCAGAAGGTTAGGTTCCTTATCGGAAACCTGGTGTGCATGGGCGGTGCCAGCTCTGCCTTCGTGATTGTAAATAATGGGGTTGATTTGGATTGAGTTGCACTGTTTGCATATTTCGTACCACCTGTTTGGGAATCTGCACAAAAAATCTTTATAATACGGCCCTAGTAAGCGTTTTTATTCGAATCCCATGCAGACACACTTTTCTATAAAATCTCCACCAAATGTTCTGGAGAGAGTTTATATAACTCCGATCATGCTATATTAGTTTCTATCATTATTTATTTATACTAAGTCATTTAACTTAAGACCTGTTGCACAAACATACTTTTGATAAAAAAGAACATCATTTTAACACTACAAGCGCTTTGCTAATGCTTTAATCTTAGCTAATATATTCCTTGTCCAAAAGTTATCTTATTGTCCTAAATTTGATATCAAATAGTTAATCTGCAAAATCTTCTATACAATTCGCGTGGATTGCATACAAACTACTGAAGTAGAATTATAGATTTAGAATCACAGGACTGTCAATATTCAAAACGCAGACTGCGATTTCACAGATTACTAATGTACTTTTACTTTAAAAATGTATTTTATGAACATGAATACATAGTGAGGCAATTTGTTTACAAGCAAGACCAGTTAAATTACTGATTTATCGTTAGCCGATAACATATCCTTCATGATTATACTGCCTTTCCGTTCTAACAATTACAGTTGATCATACAAACTTACAGCTTGCAGGATTATATTTTTCCACCCTTTTCCCCTCGTCTATAAAGTCTCTAATTGTCAAGAAAAAATTTGCATATTGGAGTTCGGAAATAACACAAAAATTGCTCACTTCAACATTGAGTGATAACGGATGCGTTCTACTGTATGTTTCAGGTGGGATGAACGCTCCTTTAAAAATTTACCATAAAATTATGCTTTTTTGTTTTTCTGAAACTCTTTAGAATGTGCGGTTTTTTGAAATTCAGGCACACTTTTTCGCCTCCAAAGAAAAGCGAATTGGCACAGCCACGACCCTTTAACGTGACTTGGTTAAAATGCTTTTTTTCTACGTTTTGCTCTTTAAAAGTGAAATTTGATCAGTGCTGGTTAACTCAAAATTGCTCAAGAAAGTGTTTTATTTTTGCATACACCTTAAACGTTTTTGATGTTTACATTATAATCTTCCATTGCAGAAATACGTGCACATTGATGATGACCTCGTGGATGCAACCGATGGTGCTAAAAGTCGGAAGAAAGGTAGCTGGTGTTTAGTTTGATGCATATTTTCGACTTTATGGCCTATGGAATTGGACCACGGTTTTCAGCAAGTTCATTTCAAAGGTTCAACAACTTTGGCTGATGCTGTGGAAAGAAGGTGTAGTAAGTGGGTGTATCCAAAATTCAGACCGATTTCAGCGCACAATGTTCGAATGCCTCTAGGGCCTTTCCAGCAAACACTGGTAATCGATATGTTAGTCGGCTTCTTTTGTTATCACGTTGACATCCCGAAATCGATTGGAACTGCCTCATTAGGAGGTTCCAGACCTTCCAGGATTAGTTCCGGTCGAGAGTCAATCGGAGTCCTGTTCAGAAGCTCCTCTCAAACGGAGGGGGACATTGATCTGAGGATAAAACGCCCCTTTATGTTCTCGTGGGACTAGTGAGAGTTGAAACCTGGATAAAAGTGCGCGAGTGCGAGAAGATGTCGTGGAAGTGAAGGGAAGTTGGTTGAGACAGGAATAATTTCAGGTTTGGAAATGTTCAGGAGCGGCTCAAGTGTTGAGGACAGGGATGAGAGTGTGAGGGAGCTGGTCATCCCCATTGGATAATGAATCTTCGGCGACTGGGGTAGGTTCGGAAGGGGCTTTGTGGTTACGGAGTCCGTCCATGTTGGTCAGGAATAGTAGAGGTTGAGCACTGTGGCAGATGAGGTTTCGGAACACTAGTAGTAATAGTAGCCAGGACTACCTGTGGATATCAGATCGATTCCTTCGTGTATTTAATCATGATCGTTAATTGCTAGTTGGTTTTTAAACTCGCCTTATTGGCCACTCTGGGCAGCGGTACAACACACAAGTGGATCCGTGATCGTGCAAAGGGCGTTTTAAGACACACCTTTCTGATTTGGAGTAAGGATTAGTGGAAAAAGTGAGTTCTCCTCAGGAACGTGAGCCAAAACGGATGTGGCAGCACACACACACACACTACCGTTGTCTCTGATTCTAAGCCACAAACTGGCTGAATGTTTGCCTAGTGTAATCGGAAGAAACTTTGTCTAATTTACAGCCAGCCACACCACCGGAAGCAGTCGTCAGGAAGGCAATGGGCGTTGTACCTGAAGCTGTTTCCATGGCCACTTTACAAAAACAGGTTTAACATGGCTGCGATGATGTGCTGGAGCTATATTTCCACTCAGAACATCCAAACTCCTTTAGTAGGCGTGGTAATTGGTTACTGGGGCTGCCAAATTTCCGATTACTGATTTTTGATGACTGTGTGCGGCTTGGATGGCGAGACAGCATCCAATGACTGCGTCTATTCTTTTAGTTAAACACGGAGGCAAGTTTGGTGTAATTCGAAGTGTGTTACACGAACTTTCGACTACGTAAACTGCGCCAACCCACCGAATCTTTTGTGGTATTTCTGTGATGACACGTGCATTGCGGTGTTGTGTAGCAATGGAGTCGCGTGGGAACTATTCGGGATCTCCAGGGAAATCAGTCTGGCAAACACCTCGGCCACATGTTAGGATGTTTTTTTGGCTGATCGCATGACTAACGATCGGTTTTGTCTTCAATTAAGTCATGGCGACATCACTAGGCGTTGAGGAAGTCAGATTAAGGAACTGGAATGGAGGTTGGGCATCATTAAGTGTGTTCAGCTTCCTGATTGGCTCACGAAATCTCTACCAACTACCAAAATTTGATCAGTCAGAATGTCTAACACTTGACGCAAACAATTTGGTGTCAGAGCTGAAATATTGTCTTGGAAGTAGTTGATGCAAAGAATCTGCAAGAAGGTGTTTGTTTTTCCGCAAAAATCTACCATGAATAATTTATTTGGCGAGAAGTTACGCAAAATTTTGGCAGGACCGCGTGAGATTGAGGGGTTAAGTGGTCTAATATTAACACCTTATTTGGACAAAACTGGATCATTTCGATTGGACGAAATTAAGGAACCAACAATGTATTCCAAGTGGCATAATAACTAACCAATTAATTGTGATCTTGGGTACAAAATCAAGGCATTAAATATCAGCTATTTAATTCACGACAAACTGTAGATTGTAGGCTAAATATGTGCCGAGACGCTGCGAATCATTTCTTATGACGTCCACGAGTTCAAAGTTTTGTTTAAAATGCGATTGGATGTTGCTATTTGTTTGTAAGGTGACATTCTTATCCCTCTCTATGCTAAAGATTTTAGCCTAATCTACTCCATATCAGTTCATGCATGCTTCTGAAAAGACTACAACGTAGTCTGCAATCTCGTGGCTCCCAATCATATCATTTGGCTCACAAAAGTACCTTGCCCACTTAATACATACCTTCTTGAACTGGTATTGGCATGTAGTCTAAGCACATCAATAAAAATTTACTTCATTAGCATTGCTTGGTTTAAATCGAAAGAGAATTTCCGTGCGATATTCGAGCTGCAAAATTTCGATTTATTTAACAAGTACACTTTGGGAAAGATTTCACCAATTAAAACAACTCCACGCAAACTGTCATTTTGGGTGAATCCTTCCTGAATAATGCACCTACGTCGGCATGTTATGGGAGTTCTACGATTTTAGTTGCAAAATTTTGAAAAAGATCGGCACCAGCAGAGAGCTGATATTTTCTGTGATTTCTGCTGGTCCTTGAACGTTTTTTAAGAAAAAACAACACCTTTTTTTCGCAAAATCGATGGCTAGATTGCAGAATTTATCGATACGATATGATTGAGCTAAAAAATCACGCACAATTTGCTTCATTCGACCAAAAATCACGTGCTGATGTGCTGCTGTTGTAGATCTGCTAAAAATTATTTGTCCATGGAGGTAATTTTGATCTCTATAATCTAATCTTCCGAATTATGACTATTGAACGTTAAATACACGCAATTAACCTGCAGTCAAGTTAATGAACTGACACGTTAGCGAAAACATCTACGATCTCAGAACCCACGATCTCCCACGCATTCCTCCAGAATTGTGGAGTTGTCAATTGTGGGAAAATTTAG